TGCACAAGTCCCTGGCAGGAGGGGACAGCCGGGGGGGTCGGGCTCTGCTGCCAGGGAACAGGGACAGGAGGAGAGGGAATGGCCTCAGGCTGGGCCAGGGGAGGTTTAGATTGGATATTGGGGAAAATTCCTTCCTGAAAGGTTTGTCCAGCCCTGGCACAGCTGCCCAGGACAGGGCTGGAGTCCCCATCCCTGGAGAGATCTAAAATCCCTGTGGATGGCAGTGCTGGGGACATGGGGTAGTTGTGACCTTGGCAGTGCTGAGAGATCAGTTGGACTCTGAGAGAGCTTTTCCAACCTCAGCAATTCCCTGATTCCATGACACTCCCCTGGCAGTGTTCATTCCAGGGAAGATAATGGTGAAACTTCACAAGTCTTCCCTAAAGCAGCCCCAGGCTTGGAGAGCTTCACACCTGTGAGGTGCCAGAGCTGATCATGGTCTGTGCAAACCTGGCACAGGTAATTCACAGCCTGGATTTATCTCCTGTGATAGCTGTGAACAGACTCCTTGATTAAATGAAGTGAAACTGGTACAATTCCACTCAGACCATGTCAGAACATGTCCTTACTCTCCTATCAAGGCTCTTTGAGATTTGTACATCTTGGGTTGAGTTCAGTTTTACTTTTGAAAGCATCCCAGTGCTTCTTTTAATTCATATTCTCTTCTTTCACATGCAGACTTGTAGTCTCAGGGTGCTTCTGGCAAATACTGTCAATTGATAGTAACTCAAGCTACAGTTTAGCATTTATTTTTTAATTCTCTATGATATTTTAGTCCTTCCTCAGCAACAGAATTTTGTGCAATTAATGGCACCAACCATTTTTCATCCCCTGGATTCATTGTCCACTACTGTTTGAGCATGTTGCCAATCCTGCCCTGTCTCTGTTTTGCTCACTGATGTGATTTTTTTGCCTTTCCCAAAGCTGATTGTGGCCGTGGAACATGATGAAATTCCAAGGCTCAAAGCTCTGTATGAGAGGGGGCTGCAGAACAACGTCCCGGGGCTGAAACTCATTGGACCCAAGGAAATCCAGGAGAAGGAGCCCTTCTGCAGGGTAAGGAGTTACCATAATTCTAGTTAGCTTGTAAGAGTTGTTTCACAGGTGAAAACATATTTTCATTTAACAAAAATATTTTTCTGGCCTTGAGGTTCAAGTTTAGAGGAGCCTGAAAATTCCTTCCCATCCATAAAAGTGGATTTGGATCAAGCCAATTTTGATGCAGGTGGTGTGGCTGTCATGTAGCACTTCTCACCTGTTTATTTTCCCATCAGGAGGAATGTGAGGAGTTTATGGAACAGAGATTTGTTATTGATGAGTCTGTCTTTGTTTGAAAGCTGGATATGAATTCCCTGTGCTGTTTCACCTGGCAGCTTGCTCTGGTGTAGATGTGTGACTTAGGAGTGGTTGTAGGTACAGACAGAAATTTTCTGGAAAAGAATCTTTTTAATTTTTTTTTTTTCCTGTAATAATTTTGGATCTGCTCCCTATAAAACATCTTTTGCATGTTCCAGATCCAGCTGAGGACATGGGGAGACAGCAGCACTCCCTTCTGATGGCAGTGCAGATATTCCAGATGAAATATTCCAACTTTCACTCTTCACCCTTGTCTTTAAAACCCTTCCAGGGACTGATGGCCCTTGATTCTCCCTACACTGGGATTGTGGATTACAAACAAGTGGCCCAGTCCTATGCCAGAGACTTCCAGGAAGCAGGTGGGACAATCTTGACTGATTTTGAAGTCACAAACATGGAGATGGCCAAAGAAAGTTCTCCAGAAAGTGAAGATGGTAAGACTGGATTTTTTTTTTTTCCCTCCATTTACTACAAAGATTTTGTTCAAAACATGATTGTTTTAACTGAAATGACATTTCTGAATTTTTCTGTCTCCTAGGGATGAGAAAAAAAGCAAAATTATCTTGGTGAGAGTATTCAGAAAACTCACTTAGGTTTTTTTTTGCAGGCAGATCACCCCTCAGCTGAAACATTTAAAACTGATGGGAAGAAAGTGAGAGTAAAATGGAGAAATAAAGTTGTTCTCTCCTCTTAAAATCAGATTTATCTGAATCTTGCATGTTTATTCTTGTGATAGTGATTTTCCTTATCCTGATGGCAGGTTGGATCTGTGCTGGCACACAGAGGGAAGAATAAAAATTAATGATTTCATTAATAAATACAGTCATGTCCAACAACATTAATTATGATAACTTCCATAGCTTGGAAGACATTCCTGAGGAAAATTCCTCCCTGGTGACAAGCTGCTTGTTCTGTCAGTTCTCTGTTACTTGTTCTAGTAATTCCTTCTCTTGTTTAATTCCATTTCAGGACTGAAATACCCAGTCATTGTTAGGAGCAAAAAGGTAAGGGTGAAAAAGAAGTTTTAATTCCTCCCAGGAAGCTGCTTCTCCTTTAATTAAGATTTTTTTTCCTGGTGGATTAATCATCTCCCAAAAAAGAAAAGGTTAAAAAGCTGCAGTTCAACAGCATGATCAGGTTGATAAAACAACTGCAGTCAGTTCTTAACAATGAGGATGTTCAAATTAATTATTCATTCAAATTAATAAATAATAATGATGATGATGTAAAATAATAAACTATAACTTTCTGCTGCCTAGTGTTTAATGTCCCTTATCTGCTTTATTTGCACAGTCTGATGCTTGTGTTTCCAAGAACTCCTTTATGGCTTGTTGATTTGGGGACAAACACCAATTTTCATGTTTACTTTTAGGCTGTGGCATCCATAAAATGATAAGGAGGCTTTTAGTATTGTTTTATTATCATTTTATCATCAGAACTGCTTCAGTAAAACAGGTGCACAACAGCTGCTGTTCCTGCAAGTCAGGACCTGTGCTTGTAATCCCTTCAGGAGGGAATATCTGGAACAAAAACAACCTCACAACCCCTCTGGTAGTTTTTAAATTTAGTTTTGTTGCTTTTTTCTCCTATTTTTTGCTCTTTCATTAAAAAGTACCTTCCAAAATCTGGGATTTTTCCACCAAATACTGGTATTTTTTCCATGCAAACATTTTTCAGTTGAAGAAAAAAAAAAACATAGTATTTAAAAACAGATACTGTGAGCTAAATAAATAGATAATAGATTTGAATTTTTAAAAATATATTTATTTAGATGGTAAGGTGTTTGATATTTAGCAGCTCTGCATAATTTTGTGCTGTGAACTTGTGTAGCTGCTCCCACCCTGTGGGGTCAATTTAGTGAACAGCCTTATTGAACTTATTTAAATATAAGTTTTATAACTTCAAAGTATATAACTTAATAACTTATAAACATAAAAATATAAATATGATAGCTTATAATACATATTAAATAATTAATTAAATACTACATATTATATTAATATATTTATATATATTATATATTATATATTATATTGTATAATATAATTAAATAATATATAATATAAACAATATGTAGATATTATATAAATAGAAACATATCTATAAATATCTAAATAATAATATAAATATAAATGTAGTATCAGTAATATTATAATTAACTTTTATTTATATATTATATAATATTATATTTATATATTTTATATTATACACAATATATTATAATATAAATAATATATAAATACTATATTTATATTCATATATTTATAAATATAAATATATAAATATTAATATAATACAGATGTGGTATTATCAATAATATAATAAATAATTAACTTATATTTATATCATTATATTATATAATATTATATTTATATATTATATTATAAAATAATATAAATAATATATAAATACTATATACATATTTATATACAAATAAATAATAATAATATAAATATAGATGTAATATTATTAATAATATTATAAATAAACTTATATTTGTATTATATTATCTCATATTATTATATTAATATTTTTATAATATGTATTATAATATAAAGAACATATAAATGTATACATTTTATATATTTTATATATTTTATAAATATATAAATAATAATATAAACATAAATGTAATATTATCAGTAATACTATAAATAATTAACTCACATTTACAAGTTAAATACCAGTAAGGCTGTGGGGTTTTTCTGGGTGTTTTTTTTAGCAGCTACATTGAATTTTTATGGTTTTTTTTTTGTTTCCCACAGGGTGAGGAAATCTCCTGTGGGCACATTTTGACCTGTGCAGGGCTTCACTCCGACCGCCTGTCCGAAATCAGCGGCTGCAGCCCCGAGCCCCGGATTGTCCCGTTCCGGGGGGATTATTTGGTGCTAAAACCAGAAAAATCTTACTTGGTGAAAGGAAATATTTATCCAGTACGTCCCCCCTGGTTTGTCTGTCACAGTGTGCCCTAAGAGCTGCTAAAAATGCAGGAAAAATGCCTAAAATTTAATAATAAATTAAATAAATTTAATAATAAATTCTGTCAGATGGAGATTCAGTTGGGTTCTGACAGGACAGCTTGGATTTTGTTAATTTTTGAGGGAAACATGGAAGTACCACGTGGGAAATTATTGCCAATTGTTTTGTTTTGTTTATGGTTTTAGTTTTGGGGTTTGTTTTTTTTTCTTAATAGTGAAAAGATGGAATATCCCCTTGCC